TCCCTATAGTAATTGTAACCTGCAGGTGTTTGTCAAGTAGTTGTGAGCTATTTGAGACTCCAATAAAAACTCTGTTTTTATTTGTGAAAAACTAATTTCCAGATGTTTATTCATTCTTTTGTTGTTGCTGAAAAAAATAACTTTCAGGCAAAGAGGTTTGAAGCAAAAGGAATGGTTTTATCTCACAACAAACTTTCCCACAGGTGAGATTACGCTGTAGAGATGAAGAAATTTAAAGTTGTTAGAGGTTAGTACTGATGTTAAAAGCACAACACTATATTAGTAGGTTTTCCTTTTTGTAATGTTGACAGTGTTTAATCTATTATGTTTTGATTGATAATAGATTAGTTACATGTCCGAAATATCTGTGGCAACACATAATTAAACGTTGTGATGACATTAGCTGAGGATTTTGTCTGAATGCCTGTGATTCAGCCGTAGGTCAGTAGGGGGTGAACGCAGGCATTGAAGAACCTGTATAATTGATGAACTTCCTGGTTTTTCGCCAGTGTGGTTTCCTGTCAGCTCAAGTGACAATAAACCTCACTCAGATCCAGAATTCTGGTGTTGTATGGTTCGAGTCCTTCTACAAATCAATTTATTTAACAATGGTGTTTTTAATATTGACTTCAGTTTATTGAACACGAATTTTCTTACAGAGACATGGAGAAAATCGAGTTTAATCCAAGTTTAATCTGTTCACATAACCTGCAGATGTGCTCACTGGAAGTTTCTCTACCTGTTGTCGTCAATTTCCAGTGAAAATGTTTAAAAAGGTATTTTCATTTAATTGCAATAAAAAATGTAGCAATGTGCACATACTGTAATAAGATGCAAAATTGCCTCCATATAACCAACAAGAAACTTTTCAAATTCCCCTCAGTTGACATATGTAACCAGAGCAAATGCTACAGAACTGCAGCACAAGCATCATTCTCGTCCTTACTGAGCGTCACATCCACTGTTGTGCTGCCGTTGCTGAGTTTGCAGCTGCTTCTTCAGATTTGAAGCAGAGCTGTCTGCGGCTGACGGACATTTATTACAGCCCAGGGACAGTTTGCAATATGCTGCTGTGACACATCTCAACAACGTGCCCCTTAATTTTTTTCTTTTTTTGTATCACTTCAGTAGAAAACGGAACCAAATGTTAGTTTATTTAGTTTATTTATTTCTTCATCATCAGTGACATGCCCCTTAATTTGTCGAATGCTTCGAAAGAGGAAAGGAAGAAAAAAAAACAAGTTTGTGCCAAGAAATACACTAAAATGTTTATGTATAACAAATAATAAATGGGGTGTCTTTGGGGTTTAGGAGGTCCATTAAAAAATGAAAAGGTCTAAAGATAACTGCATGCAAAAAAGAAATATGACTCAAAGAGTATCCCCCTTCAGACATTAGAGGGTAATACTTCCAGTTCAAAAGAGGCAGCAGTGAGGCTGCATAAGACGGCACAGTCACTAACATGTTGACGTTCTGAGAGAGCTGGGTCCGGACAGTGTTTTCTGATTTTCCTTGTCGGCTCAGGGATGAACCAACTTCGCTCCTATTCCTCTTCTTTACCTCACCAACAGAAGAGAGAAGGCATAAAAGGTGCAACAGTCTGACCAGACAGTCTGACAGAGCCCTCAGTGTTTACATAATTTGTCTCGTCACAATGGCTGAGTAACTAAACATGAACACAAATGCGTGGTTTAGAGGGTTGACTTTAGAAAGTGATGTGGTCAGACCAGCTGCTTCTGAGTACGGAGAATCGATTGTGTCAAAGAGCTGCTTTCACGCCCATATTTGACGGTTTCTAATTTGGAGTTAAACTCACACACAAGTTAAGCGAGCAGACCGAGTGACGGGAAAAAATGAAACTGCGTGCGTTTAAAGGTCAAGTGACCGTTTTGCATGAGAATGTCAGATCAAAAGGTGTTGGTAGCGTGAACACTGCTGGTCCTGTCAGGGTCTAGTGCCACCTCCCACTGGATACAAGCAGGGATCCTGTGCAGAACAGAGTGGTGTTTTATGTTTGTGATGAGTTGCCCCATCTGTTTTAACTGACACTTGAAATGGGGCAGATTGGCGCCAAGTCAAACTTTATGTCTGAGCTGATTTGGTCAGGGAAAGACATCAACGTGAGACATGTGGATGGGACTTGTTATAGTGTTAAAAGACCACAACAGGTTGCTGTTTGAGGTGGATATGTCGCTGCAAGGAGTTTCTTCCAGGTGGCGTCTTCCCTCCAGGGAAAAAAACCCTCAGACATCCATTGTTATTTTGGTCACAAATCTTTCCTGGTTAAAGCTCCACAGTTTTTGTGTCTTCTTTGCACAATGTCTGTTTTATCTCCACTCATGAGTCTTTGGCTGTTTAACGATCTTTATAAAAGTCTGCTTCCTAGTACAACAAAAGCAGGTAGTTGAAGCAAAATGCAGCATCACAACACATTCAGCATAAACAAACACGCCCACAAACTTCTGACCAATGACACAATAATTTTGTACGCAGAGGGAGTGAAAGGTTCCCCCGGCAGGTTGTGACAAGGAGCTGAAGACTCAAAGCTGTGTACAAATTGACACACTATCATGCGACTGCAATAATGAGACCAGATTTCATCAGGTCTTAAGACATGCAGACATAGCAAGTCACTGACATTATGATGTGCCATCAGGCTTTCCCAGATTACTACCAGAGGTGACCTGAAGTCATACCTGAAGACTTCCTGTCAGTGCCTCTCCACAACGTTGATAGGATTAAACTTCTCCCATCGGCACAGCCACACAAAGATCAATCATAGTAATGCACTATCGAGATTCATCACTGAACACAACACCACTCATCATCAGTCCAGTCCTCTCAGTTATGGCACCAGTCCAAACAGAGCCGTCTGCTCTGCTGTTATTTGAAGCTTGAGAATACGTTGAACCCAAAGTCCAAATGCCAGCTGTAGAGACAATGAATGATGACACAAGGTTTTGTAAAGGATCCAGTACCCATGTATGGTGAATGTTGTGGTTCTGTACTTCATGCACAATATGACAGTCCTCCCTTAATGCGTCTGTGTTGGGCAACTAAAAGCTTAAATACTGTCAATTGATGTCTTCACTTCCTCTGTTGGTTTTGGCTCTTGTGGTATTTATGGGCCAAACATGCTGAAGGATTGCACCACCTGACCTCATGCAGATCCACAGTCTGACCCCTATCAAACCATATCATGTGCTCATAACATTGTCCAATGTATTGTATCCCCCGACATACACTACATGCGATTCCGCTCCGCTGCGCAGTTTGCCACCATTAAATTCCACCCTTGCGTCCGCTAAGGTGCAAAGCTCAGATGAGCTCTGAGAAGCATGTGCAGGAAATGCAGAATCACACAATAAACTCATCGATAAATGCAATAATAGAGCAAAAGAATTAATTCTGTGAAAGACGGACTCCAAACACAGTTAAAACTGCATTGCCTTTGTGTTTTTCAAACTTCTGGTTTCAAAATAAAATCCATGTGTATTATGTGTGCATGCAGCGCGCTACACGTTGCCATTTGCTTCCCAAACAGCACGATACATTTTGACAGCATTTGTGTATAAATATATGTATGTAGTTATTAATATAGCTATGATTTTGACAAAATAAATCTGTCTTCGGTGAATTATTTTGAAAATACAAATGTTGTCCTGTGATGGACTTGCAACCTGTCCAGGGTGTACCCCGCCCCTCGCACTGTGACTGCTGGATATGGGCACCAGTGACCCAAGCGACCCTGAAAAGGAAAAAGCGTGTACAGAAAACGGATGGATGGATGGATGGATGGATGGATGGATGGATGGATGGATGGATGGATGGATGGATACAAATGTTGTGCTCGTTCTTTTTCCTGTTGGTGCTGTGTGATCTTTGTGGATTGATTACGGGGCAGCCCCGGCATCCAGAAATAGAATTAAATCTAATATTGGCAAATCATCGTGTGCACACCACCACCACCGCTGTGCACCACTGCGCAGAGCCAGTGTGCTCTCATTCATTATAAAGGTTGCATATTAACTGCGTGAGTTAGACCCCTGCATCCTGTGTAAGTTGGGGGTAAGGCCTGGCCTGGCCACAGTCTGTCACGATCTGTAGTGTTTGAAACCCCTTCTGCAAAGTGGGGACTCAAGAGGCTTGGGTTAAAAAAAAAAGGTAAATTTAAGACCTGTTGAGACAGCCAAGAAAATCAGGAAGGATCACAAGGAGGACTGAGACTGTGTAAGACACTTAATGCTTCTCTACTGGAGCCACAGAGGTGAAAAACATTTAAAGGAGGACACTGATGAACTGCATGACGACAAGTGGGCAAAAAGACAGGGGATGGTAAGCTGATGGTAGCTAATGTAATCTTGTTGTTGGTAGCTTGCTGTATTGTTGAACTGATGTGAAAAAAACATTACAGTTGCTGCAAACGATTCAAGAAAAGTTAATCTGCAATTAAATATGCAGAACTCTGGTTTGAACCCAGCCTGGTCCAGATCTTACAATGCCCAAAAATGCCCTTTGGTGCTCAGATGCTCCTGCAATTGCCTGATAACACTATTGCTCTAAACCCCTCTGGTCTGTTTGGTGCAAATTGCATCCAAAAAATAATAATATTATAAGATAAAAAACTACAGTATTTCTTCTAGGTGCTAATCTTTTCTTTTATTCAGTGACTATTTGTATTGCAGTAACATGTAAGATATATTTGCACCTTAAATATTTTGTTTGCTTTTGTTGTTTAGGGTCAGACAGCTGAGCTGGTAAAATTGTACACAATAAAACAAGGATCTATCATTTTAACGGAACATGCAAACAAAACAAACCCATGTTCCATATGTTAAACTCATTAAAAGTACTCCATTTCTGACTTTAACCCAGAACACCACTAACCTACACTTTCAGTTCTCACCCTTTCCTTCCCCGTAGGTGGGTGCGCTCCGTGTCCCCTACGCTCGCCGGTGCGCGCGCGCGCGCCCACCCACTCTTTAACTGTTAATCTCCACATCTCTGTCTCTCCTCCTCTGGGCTCGGGCTCATGAAGTCACTGGCCAGCAGCCAGCCACTCAGTGTCGGGCTGAAGCTGAAGGAGCACCGTTCTGTGTGAGCTCCACAGATCAGGAGAGTCCTGGCGCAGTCCGCTCCGAGCGGGGACAGCTGCAGCAGGGGACCGGATGGAAGTACCACCATCCTGAGGACATGCTCCTGTAAACACACTCTGCTGGGTTTTCTTTTTTGCCTGAAGCGGACAAGTTCACTTTCCTCCCTCCTTTCAGGTGAAGATCTTTTTTATTTATATCTATTTTTTTTGTCCTTGAAAAGAAGAAAACGCTGCTGTTTTTGCTCGCCACCCCGGCCGTCCAGCACCCATGAATTCGGATAAAAATGTGTACCTCGGCAGGGACAAAGGCATCATGCGGAAGAGAGCTCTGCTCCTTCGGAAGGGTTGCAGCTTCGAGATTACCAGGTAGGTCTGCTTTTGTGTTCTTTGAAAAGGGGGCGATTGGATTTCTGCCTGGGACATAATCAGACCAGACAATCGGGTTCTCTCTGTCTTAGATTTGCCAAGATTTTCCGCGTGTGTGCGCGCACAGAGAGGAAGAAGTGGGATGTCCCAATGCCATAGGTTTTGTTTTGTTTTTACCAGGAGTGGAGTCGTTTAAGATTCCCTTCTTCTGCGTATGTATCCATCTGCTGTAGTCCTTGGTTTATTATCGTTATCATGATTCATCTACATCTCAGCGCTGTGCGTTTCCTTATCGGACCGTGGAGGGACGCGTTACGCACGGCTACATTCCGTCTGCACCTGACTCTGCAATATTACCAGGGGTGGTTGGGGATACTTGGTGAATTTATGGGCAAAATGAAAAGCAGGCTGGGCATTCCTTTGATTTTTATATGTCATTGTTTGCCACATGGTTGACAGATACAATTAAAATGGGAAGATAAAAAAGAAAGCAGGTCTAATTCTGGATTAGAGGATGACAGTCACATGGGGTGACAAACCGACCACATAAATGGCAGCTGGTGCAACTTCTCTGCATGACACGACAGGCTCTGTGAGATATGTGGCCTCCTGCGGTCATCTCCAGCAGGATGACACAGGCTGACATGCTCCTGCCCTGCGTGTGTGTGGTCACACTCCATCACAGTTTGGTGGCTTGTTGTTCAGCTGATGGCGCATCTTCCTCTTTGCATCACATCTTCCTTTCCCAAAGGCTTCAATTAAAACCTAAGCTAAGATATTGTAATGCCAATGTTCCTGTTGGTTTACTTCAAATTTAATTCAAACCATTTGTGAAGCACACTGAAAGCAGCCGAAGGGATGATCTGTAAAACAGGCAATGAAATATTAAAATCAAAGTAAAAGCTACATGTGGAGTTTAGCTTCCTGTGTTTTTCTGTCTCTTTATTATTATTTTTGTTTCTCCTGCTCATGTTTTCTTCAGCTTACATGTATTGTTCTACTTCACACCTGTTATCCATTCTGTCATCATCCCAGCCAGGAGCAGGTGGTGCAGCTCCTCCTCCTTGTTTTAAAGTAGTGCAAACTTCTGTTTTTAATCCAGATTTTATGACATAAAATCGTGTTACCGCTCCCAGTAATAAGACAACACATGTAGTGTTTATCAATTTTAGTTTCACTTTTTGTTACAAATGGAAATATTTTTACTGATTATACATATGATGATACATATTATAGTAGATGGGATTTAAACCCTGGTTTCCTGAATAGGACACAATATCCATCACTATAAGTGAACAGTGTGGTTTGCTGTTTTTACGTTCCTGGTTTTATTTTCCCATTTTGACACATAATTAGGTGTCTGCAATCCCAGCTGCACTCATCTATAATCACTTTACCCAGTTACATGTACTCCTTGTTCTCTTGTTCAGTTGTCAGATTCTTAAAAGTCATTGTTGTTGCTCATGCTTCCTGTTGTTGCCACCTGTCTTTTTTTCTTTTTGTTTAATATGTTTGCGGGTTTTTGTACCTGCCTGCCTGTTGTCTCTTTGGTTCATCAATGCATTGGTGTTGGCTGTGTTTTGCACTGTCTGTTAGTCCAGATATGTTGGACATAAACTCTATTTCTGCAAACTGAGGCTGTTTAAAATGACGCCTGCAACAGGTAGGATATTATTGTTCATAATTTTCATAGAAAATATTACTTAAAAATGGCCAAGGTTTGTAATTAATTAAAAAGTGGTGGTAAGTTTCATTTGTTTTAGTTTATAATATGAAATACTGCCTCAATGTAAGGTTTCTCAAGTGAATGAAAAGAGATTCTCCTGCAGCAATAATATCTCATCCTGGTCCTCGAGGGCCACTGTCCTGCATGGTTTTGATGTTTCTCTGCACCTGATTTGAACAAATAGATGACTAACAGTCTTCTGCAGAACTTTAAAAAATGCTAAAGAGGAAATTCAGCCATTGAATCAGGTGTGTTGGAGCAGGGACACAACTATAAAATGAATAGAAATGACCCTCAATGACCAGATTTGGTCACCGCTGGTCTGCAGCTTTAAATATAAACAAAAGATTAAATCATCCACAATAAAAAAAAGTAAATAAATACAAAAATACATGGAAAATCAAAGCACTGCCTTTATAACATCATTAATGTTTGGTGTTTTTGGTTAAAAGCGAGTAGCTCATTCCATTTCTTTTGACTGACACGTCTGCGTGGGTTGTATTATCTCGTAGATTATCGCTCCACCTTCCTCAGTATTCACTCTAATGTTCTTCTATTTCAGGCAAACCACTGAGGTGTGCAGAAGGACAAGAATTCACATAACTTTCACTTCATTACTCCATTTAATTTTTTTTATTTTATTTTTATTTTTGAAATCCTAGTTTGAGTGTAGATGAAACTCATGAAAGACTGCCAGGTCTCACATTCCAAACTGTACTCAGGGTGAACGCGGGGGTGAAATGTGGTCAGCTTAGTGCCAAACGCTTTCCTTCAAATTACACATCCCTTCTAATTAGCCTGATCTGGGCTGCATATAGTGG